AGAACCATGAAATGCACTGAAGCCCATAGCGCCCGCTACCAGCAACTAACGGATTTAAAATCACTCTGCGGAACAACGTCATGTTTTCAATTACTATACATCAAACAATCAATTATAATCAGCGATTTATTGATTTAATAAAAAAATATTACTTTTTATTGCTTAAAATATTTCGATAATGAACAATTGGGCGTTATTTATTATGTCTATGATAATGTAGTATTAAAAAATTAAGTTTTTTTTTAAATTAATAATAATAATTATTATTATTATTAAATAATTATTTATTTATGTATTATATACAATTAATGAGTTTACATATTTATGTAACCTCATTAATTGTATATAATAATATGTATGAGCATAACAATAGAAAAATAATAATTCATTTACACTTCATTGGTGAATATTTATAATAATAAAAAAAAAGTAACGTATCTATTATTATTTATTAGTTAGGTTTTTATCTATTGACGTTGGATTATGGTAATCTTATTTAATGCACCATAACGGATAATGAAATGACTAGATATAACTTCAGTGTATTACTAGATTGTAGACTCAAATAATATTTTTTTTTTTAATTATATTCATAACTTGTGATTTTCTCTCGCTTCTCTCGAGTACCTACACTACCTAGGTCCTAACATTAGCTTATATGTTGCTCCAGATGATAGTCTATCTGTTACATACTAAATTTCATCAAAATCGATCCAGCCCTTTCAGCTTGAAGGAGTAACAAACAAACACCGAGATATACACACATACAAACTATGGCTTGTATAATATTGGTACGATATCTGAATTTATTTAATGTAAACTTTTCTTTAAACTGCCTTTACTTTAACATCAGTTAAAATAAACAGGATGTGATGCTGATGATCCAGAGTTAATTGGTTAACGGTATAGCTCTCACAAATAACGAAGTGCAAGTTGCAATATTGGTTTATGACTCTACATGAGGATTCCTAAAAAGTAGGAAATGTAATACTTATTAAGAATGTACCTATTTATTTTATACAGTCGTCCCACCGGAGTATGAGAGTGACAGGAATAGAGAGTGCACTTGTGTCTGCGCGCACACTTGAGCACTATAATATCTCCTGCGCAGTTGGCTAGTCTCAATGAGATTGGCCGCCGTGGCCGGAACCGGCTAGGAGTACATCATCATCATCAATGTATCGGAATAAAAATTAGCCTATTCTACATATCTCGCTCAAAAGCACGCTCAAAAGCTCAGTCAGAGGTCAAACCACATTTTTGTTCCCATTTACTTTTAATACTAGTAATATTGTCTTCAAACCTATATAAATTAATATTATGACTTATGTAAGTACCTTAAAAATAGAGAGCCTATAAATTACAATTATTGTTGAGGTTTGTTAGCACTAAGCCATACAACATTATTGTTACTCAACGATTGAACTTTAATTATAACCACTGACGTAGTGGTTCCCTGGTATGGCTATAGATCATAAGCTGTTAACCTAGGTTTGAAACTGAGGTGAATACCCTGCTTCAGATAGATTTAATTCAGCATGTACTTAATTCAATCAAGTATGGTTGAACACCTTGGTCCTTGTCTGCTTATATCGGCCTGCTATCTACATATTATGTATCTCGTCTCTTCAAAGAAAGCTTTGTGTAACAAGAAAGTAGCAAAATGAGGTGCTTAATAGTTACAAAGATGGTACATTCAGAGTTGAGTCATTTTCTTTGGAACTCTAGTTAATGATTAGATATACTATGTACCAGTAATTTACGACAGAAAAATATTACGTGAAAGAAGCTGCGCAAAGTAAAATTATAAAACATCAGCAAACCAGTTGGACAGTTGCAGAACGAGTCGATAGGAAAATAAAGATTTAAACACTGATCACTATTGCGACTATCGTCGCATCAATATTCTTGACTAACATCTATCTTGTCGTCTTTTATCATTTGTATGTGATCCTCTTCGCTCGTTTATTTTTTTACTTTTAAAAGAATTATGTATAATAGCACTAATATTATTTGGTTAATCTGTTATTCTTTTTGAGCTTTAGTCTACGTACTACATAGTTACAGAGGGGTTTTAGTTGAAGTTTTTAAAATTGTAATATTTGGGACTTGTGAGAAACCATGTCTTAGAACTTTTCAAGAATGTTCCTGAATATCTATGAACATAAAACAAAAGAAATACTTTTTTTTCTAAATTTTCTTAAGATTACAAAACGAGTTTGTGTTATTTCTTGTACTGTGATATAAAATATTCTTACTATAAAGATTATTTTTGCTTTATACGAACTTTTAATCTATTTTGAGTTATTTTTCATATTTTAAAATTTACTATTAAAATTAACGACACGTTTAAATTTTTTTTCACTGGAAAAGTTTTATATATTAATCACTTTACAAATATTATTTAAAAACAACACGTAATTTTTATGAATCAAATACAAAATTTAGCTTAAATAAATTGTTTAAATTAATAAAAATAAATATATATATAAAATTCAAACTAACCTGGATCCTTTGCATCCAGTATCAACAATGTCACGTACACAAACACAGATAACACAATTAAAAAGTTACACTCAAAATAGGTCGAGATTTGCGCGGGAATTCGATGTCAAAGAAACGTTCGGTCGACACGACGCTCGCGAGTGGACTGGTTTTGACCACAAGTGACTAGCCGCGAGTGGAGTGATTTTCATTGAGATAATTGCGATGATCGTGGTTTAGAAAACCTTTGGGACATGGCTGTTATTTAATGGTAACATGAAATAAAATAAACTAATATTAATAATAAACTTCCCTAACTGAGGGCAAAAACTGTTAGTCATTTCTGTTGATATCCAAAAATTTCTTTACAAATCCAGATTTTTATTTCAAATCTTCCTTGACATTAATTTATCAAAAATTTTCTTCGTTTTAAGATAAAGTATATATACTATGTTAACTAAGTTTTTAAGAACTTTAGAAAGGCGAGAATCGTCTTTGTTTATTTTAATTTGTAGAGACCTAGAGCACAATATTATATTTTAAGATAAATTTAGCTAAACATGTTTTACTTTAGACACTTAATTTCTATAAAATGTATACCTAGTAGGTATAATTATTTAGGGTAATGTAATATAATATTATTGATAAGATATAAAATAAATTTTCATCTAAAAAAAGGTTTCATCTAGTGCATTTTCTTTTTTTTACTTTAGGGGAATACGTAAGCAATAGAGAAGTTTTCTTGGTTTAAATTATTTCTATACGATTAAAAAAAGTCAAATCCACAACACCTTAATAAATGACGATGAAATTAGATACGCACGGTATCTTTAGTCTACGAAGAAAACAAACATGCTAACCCAGTCTGCCAAACGTTTTCCGCTGGATTATTGAAGCGACATAAGAAAAAAGAAAAAAAATATGTTCGTGTTTTTCAAGTTTACAATGCTGTCAGAAAATTATTATTAAAGGTGCCTTCTTTAAATTCTCCGATTCTACTAGAAGCTACTATATATACTACTCGCTACTCACCCTCGATCCGCTCGACCTCTGTATCGATAATAATGACTATTTCAATAAGATTTTCCAAAAAACATTTAATGTACAGAACTACAGTTAACACCAGTTACACACACCAGTAACAGTTAGAATTTTATTATAGACTATTATATTTTATTATTAGGTCGATTCCCCATACAAACTTTCATCCCCATTTTTAACCCCTTAGGATTATTTCCAGAATAAAAAGTATACTATGTCCTTCCCAGGGCCTCAAACTATCTTGCCAATCTCTCACTCATCACTCTTGTCAAATTTCATCTGAATCGATTCAGTAGATCCAAATATTATCCCCTACAACGTCACAAATTCACAAACTTTACCTTTTCTTTATAATATTAATAAACTTTTATAAGTAAACTTATTCTTTATAATATTAGTATAGATATGTAAACAAATTAGAACAAAGAGTTCTAAATAGTATATAGGATAGGAAGTCAAACACCACGTTTTATCTTTACCAGACTATACATATTTGTAAAGTAAATACTTATTCTTACTAATATATTCGAAGATGCTTTGTCGTTCTTGACGCAGCAACAAACCGGATCACAGACAAAGTAGAGTTAAGGGTATTGACATGTTTCCTTCATAGAAGAGTTTTAGGGAGGATATAAATTTTTTGACCTTTAAATATATATTCGATTCGATATATAAAACCTTATTATTGGTCCTCTTACCACTGAGTTACAACTTACAAGTCTAATGCCGAGATTAAAAATAAATTTCGTTTGCCATCGTCAGAGCCCGTATTTCTAGTGCCTATATTTAGGTGGCATTTTATTTTTATTTTTTTAAATTTTAGGTGACCCCTAACTATCGGTGAAACAGAAACTGTCCGCTAACAGCCCCCTACCCATGCTTAGGGGAACCCTTAAACTTAGGTGCCGTTAGTGAAATCGGCCATACAACTTTTTATTTTTCATAGGAAATATATAGGTATTTAGAGTATGTAGGTGCCTACCTATTAATTCTAATACAGCTATCATTGCCTCACAAAATTTTAATAGGATTCAATTAATTGCCAACCATTGTATTAATTGTATTTATTCTACTTAACCATTCACGAGGCTTTATCAAATAAAAACTTAATACAAAAGGTTTACAAGTTGGTATTGTATTTAATTCTGTTATTTGTTAAATCACTACCATAATTTTCTTTGTTATACTTTTAATTTAAGTAGATATGTATGTCATTAGCATTACATTTACTTAACAATTATATAATAATCGCTGTTGCATAAAATATTACAAATTAAATTAAATGATCCGCTAGTTTCAGTCGTTAGCTAAACGGTATTAAAGCTCAAATTAACCTACTTAAAAAGAATTTTAGAAATAATTTGTCTATAAATGTAAACAAAAATAATTTACAAATGCACGTCTGTGTGAGAATTAATAATAATATTAATAAATAAATATGTTGGTACATTAACACACAACACATTAAGAGGTCCATGTTCAGCAGTGGACAAAAGCAGGCTGATGATGATGATGATGATGAACCGTTAAAAAGTTCCACTATTCACATCCTGGCTCTATCTCCAGAACAACTCGGAGGTATTAAAATACCTATGCAAAGTTAGAATCAATAGATAGTTAGAAGTAGGTTAAAATCGAATTCCAAGATTAGATTTTATAGTTAACTACAAGTAAAGCAAATAAAAGAGTGTTAAAAATAATGTTAGGGAGTCGGGTTAAGAAGCAGAAATTTAAAATCTATTCTAATATTATAAAGAGGAATTTTTTTGTTTGTTTGTTTGTATCGAATAGCCTCCGAAACTACTGAACCGATTTAGAAAACTACTGAACCGCCAACTTCCCAACTCCGGAATACTACTAAGAAAACTCAGTAATGAAACTTGGCCCAACTCGGGACTCGAACCCGACCTCCGGATATGCTGGCTGCGTGCTAGCCGCTAAAACACCGAGACAATTATGTATACAAATACAAATATATAAACAATTTTACTTCAACCCACCCTGAAGCAAAATATCTTCGTCACATAAGATTTGCGCCTTCATAAAACACTGATAGAAGTTATGAATGCTTGAATTAAAATTTAGTAAGAAGATAGTTTGAGACCCTGAGAAGGACATAGAATAGTTTTAATTCCGGAAATCATCCTTTAAGGGGGTGAAAGTTTGTATGGGAAGCAACCTAGGGTGAATCGCTAGTGCTTAGATAAATAACGCGACAGTCGGCACAAACAAAGTTACTGCACCGCGTGGGTCGCCGCGATTATAGAATTAAAGTAAGGCTAGGCGCGCACTATGAATTTTTGTTCACTCAGCAAAAAAAGCGATGCAGTACAATGTCACACCATTATCGCATTAAATTGGAGCACATACGTAAGTAAAACGAAGTTATAACAAGTTCAACTTGTTTGTGGTGCGATGGTTAATGTTTATGGCATTTTTGTGAAAAACACATATTACGCACGCACGTCATTATGTCGCGGCGTTTTAGCCGCGCGGCGAAAACTTCATAGTGCGTGCAAAGTCTAATAACTTTTCTTTTGCTAAGACATTCTATAAAATGACTAGCATAGCCTTAAGTTGATTTTAATGACTATACAAAGTATAATATAATTTTAGAATATTGTAGTAATAGCATATAGTTATGTCATTTTCCTAGATTCTTAGATTTTAAACTGAAACGGGAATCTAACCCGTGACCTATCTGATTATATATTTTTATATGTACACTAGCGACTCACCCTCGCTCCGCTTGGAAGTGTTAGTAGAGCTTTTAATGTTTAGTATAGATTTCTTAGAGATGAGATATTTTCCAGCAGTAAAAAGTATCCTATATGTTGACCCAGATAGCCAGCTGTCATCATACCTAATTTCATAAAAATCTGTGCTGTTGTTTTCTCGTGATGCGGTCACAGATAAATAGATTCGGTCTCTGTATCGATAATAATGACTAGTTCAATAAGATTTTCCAAAAAATATTCAATGTACAGATTCGACTCCGTTAGAATTTTATTATATGTATAGATAGATATACTTAATCGACTAAAAGGTTCTAATTATCCAGAAAAATCTTTATCAATGTACTTTTTTGTTGTGATTGAAGTGAATTATCACTTTATTTTTTAAAGCGAAATATTTTTTATCTTAACTTAATAATTATGTTGGGAAAAATAAAAACTCGTTCAATTAAACCAATAATGAACTGAATGAATTTGAAAGTGTGGTTGGTAGTTCTAACCACGCTGGAGATCGCAGATTCGATTCTGCCCGATGATTTTTACTATTACTTCTAAGAGCACTCGAAAACGTAAAAGCGTACCTACCTACATACTATAGCTTGTTTCTAAAATTCGTAAGGTAATTATTTACCTACTTCTTTACTAAATAGGAATTTTACTCCTACCTAATCCCGGCTGCTTCTGCGTCCATTCGGAACTCGAACCCAGGACTCGATCTGCAAACAAACATTCTAGCCACTTAACCAACGAGACAGTTACTTCGTCTTTCTGGCAAATAACTTTTCTATTACTGAAAAGGGAATGGGGTACGGTATATGTAGAAAAAAATAAGTTTCTTTTCTTAATTTATTTAATATTTTTCCAAATCTTGTTTACAACACAATTATCAACAAAATCGATTATCATTTTTTTTTATATAAATACGTTAAAAGTAAACACTTGGTTAGGTAACTTATATAATGTCATTACATGCTTCAGGTACAGTATTGTTAGTAACGCAGTTCAGTCATATATATACGTGGTGAGTTTCTTTCACAAACTTTTCTAAAATATACATTTGGAATAAAAATTGGGAATGTCTAAATCAATAAAATATAATACGATGTAAATTCAAACTTTTCATTAACGTAAACAAAAATTAGAATAATTGTGTTTGTTCATTGACTTTCTTATTAGAGGATTGATAGTCTTATACATACAATTTTTGTTATCAATTTAAAAAGTAAAAAAAAATCTATTATACTTTAAAACATTTGTTTATACGAGTATAGATAATATAGGTAAATGTCAAAAAAAAAACAATTACGACGTAAAATATATATATGAAAAATCATTGTTTTTGAAGAAAATTTTATGGCAATTTCCTAGATATAAAAGCATAGAAACTACGGGGAGCACATTTTTCGTGTTTTTGCCAAACATAAATTTCTAAATATGACTGACTGACTGATTATGAAATACAATAATTAAGTCTTATAATTTTACTGGCTTATTATTACTGGTTATAATCGGGTTTAGATAACAAATATTTACATATTTGTTAAGGAGATTCACTGTCAATTTTTTCAAAATAAAAAAAAATCACTATATATATAAAAAAATGAATTATGAAGCTCGTTATTTTTAATAATTATTTTATTAATAGTTAATTTTAAAATAAATTAAACCTAAGATTTATTGATTTAATAAAACAATTGTTATTATTTAAAATAAATTAATTTTACAATGTTATATAAATTATCACTAAGTCAATCCCACGCGGTGATTTGAATGAAATTTAAAATACATAACTTAAAATACTACACAAGAAGTTAATGTAATTGAAAACAGATTAATGTGTTTATTTTTACTCTTGGGAGTTTTATTTAATATTTATTTATTTTTTGTATTTATTTATTCATTTACCAAATACAAAAAATCATTTAAATAAATGTTAGACACATGAACAAAATATGTATAACTGATTTAATAGTGTATCAGTAGGTAGATACTTATAAATAAAATGAGAATTTATTGTTTTATGGTCTAAAAACCACATATTCACACAACCACACACAACACACATACTTTAAAATTTTAGTTACATACTTTTTGCATCAATTTCATTTTTAGTGATATTTTAATTATCAATTTTTAATAACTATACATACATACATATACATGTATAACACGATTCGAGATCCTAACTCCAATGTCAAACGCATCTAGTATACAAATGCAAAAACTATATAAACAATACAAAGGTGAATCAAATATATAAACTGTATACGTATACAAAAATAGCGCATGCTACATACACACTTTCTTTTATATAAAATATTTTTATCAAAAGATCTTTACATCAGATCAAAATTCGTTCAAATCAAATTCAATGAAATTTATTATTTCATTTGAAGTGTCATTAAAATGTCAAAATTTAGGCACATTTCAAAGGCCGTTATACGTATTATAAAAACTGAAAAATATGAATATAAAACTTGGAACATACAATCGAATCAATTGTCAATCTTATTACTTTGTAATAAGTGCGACAATGGCGTGCAATTAATACAATTTATTCCTTGAAGTTAGACAAGTAACAGACAATCTTTACTTAATGAAATTGACGGAGCTAAGGGGACATCCATTAATTATGTGAACTCAAAATGGGGGAGTAGGGGTTTAGTAAAATCTCATTAAATCTCATTTCAACTGAGGAGGGATAATTCAAAATCTCACGTCAGCTTTAAAAGAATATATATTATACAGTTAATAAAAAAAACATTAAATTTTTCTTTCGGTTCATTTGTAAGTTTCATTTTGCCCGCTGAAAAAATGTCACGGCTAATATAAAAATCATTTATTTCGAGAGTACCTGAACGTTGTCGAACCTATCAAATCCCACTAAATCTCACCAGGGAGGAGGGAGAGACCCAAATTATGAGAAAAACGGCTCACGTAATAATTATTGAATGTCCTCGATAATATATTTATGTAAAACCTCAATGGAATGATATAATTAAATTAGTTAGATGATTAATTTATTATAACAATATACATACGTCATCTATTTACTACCGAAAATAAAGAAAACATTAATACTTCATGTATAATAGACATGCGTTCAAACGTACATAAATTAATTAAAAAAAAAAAGAATGACAAAATATTAGGCATTATTTCATTTATTAATATAAAAAAATATATAAGGTAAAATTCTTCTAAATGTCTGACTATTGAATAACATATTTGATATTAGATATATTTGTACTTTTAGGCTAAAGGAATGTTTCAGTTACAAAAGCATTAAATTAAAATACTTTACAAGTAAAAAAGATTTGACGGTTCAAAGTGGATAAATTTATCGTAACGTAGCCAGCAATTTATACATATACGTAATAAACCAAGATACATTGAATGTCTTCTAACTTTATTATTGATATATAAAAAAGGAGATACACATTTCTAAGCAAATATCTCTTCAAAAAGTGGCGTCGGCATGTGACGTTAAGTCAAACCAAAGAATAACAATGGAAAATCGAAAGTTTTGTCTAAACACAAATTCGAACTTACGCACACCACATAAAGTACCTTTTTAAATGGACCATAGTAAGTTTTAATTTTATCATCCAAAACTCAATAAACAAAAGAGATTTGAAAGGAGCGCAAGGAAGGAAGGAATTCGACTTTGAATTGTGCACTTCTTTTGAGGACACTTTTAGAGACGATAGCTGTGTGTGTATCTTGAGATTTTGTATATCAACGAATTTTTAATAAATAATTTAAGTTTTTTAATTATGAATATACTCAATCACTGGTAGTGTCCATCATGGTCATAGCGGTAAACGTGTTAAACATATTAAATTTATTTTAAGTATTCAAAAATATTTCGATTAGAAAAGAAAAGATTTCGAAATATTTTATTTATATGGTGACTCACCATATAAATATAATGTACAATTATGTAGAAAAAAATATCAATATATATGTACATACAGTCATATAAAGATATTACATCTGTGTTAGCACATTTCGTACGAAATTATCAAATTGCAGAAACTGACTCACATTCGTTATAAATTCATTATATTTTTTTGTTTCAAATTATATTTTTTCTATCTTGTTCTTCTACCATGCATTGCATAATTTATAACTTATAGGAAACCATTTTTAAATGCTTCGTTTTTGCTAATGTTATTCAGAATGAAGTTTAGTAGTCAGTAAATAGTATAGTTAATAATATTATATTTTTTACATAATATTACGTACACAGAGTACGGCTTCAGTTTTATAATTAAATAAAACCATTGCGCCAATGAGTATATAACGATAAGCACAAAGTAAATATGTTTAGTTGTTAAGATGTCATTATTATATATTATTTATCTGTTTATATTGATTTTATAGATTAAATTTTACTATTTATAAAATGTAGTAATTTCAAATATAAAATACCATATAGTTTGAAAGTAGGGTATAACAAGCATGTGGACCAAAATGTGGTCAATAAAAAAATACGTTGTATCAAAATGGCGCTAGTTTCTTGTAATTAAGATGATAGATCAGCGTCATCTTTTACAACGTGATCATTAAGGAAGAGGGGTACTAAAAGCTAAAATTTCAGAGAAAACTCTATCCAAAACAACACACCAGGACTGCATCATTCTGAAGGAAGTGTGCTGGATTTACATATTAAAAATTCTAGAGGAGTTGTACTGGAGATACCAGGGCTGCATGGTTCTGAAGAGTGTGCTTAATTTTCTGAATCTTGGAATTCTGAAATGTGAGTGAATTTAGAACCTAGTACATTGTAGCATACAACTCTGGTAGTCGGATGATTCTGGAGGAGCTGCACTGGAGATACCAGGAACGCATGATTGAACAGAAAGTGTACGTGTACCTATGAATAGAAGGTGAGTACGGCCGCGTGGTTCCCGCGCACGAGCATGACGCGCGGCGCGGCGGTCGCGAGCGCGGCCAGCCAGGCGGCGTAGAGCGGCGCGGGCAGGCGGCGGCGCGGCATGGGCTGCGTCACGCACACCAGGCGCGCGCCCGCCGACTGCGCGCCCACCAGCTCGCGCACGCGCAGGTAGCGGTGCGTGCGCGCGCGCGCCGCCAGCAGGTCCGCCTCCGTTATGCCCACTGGTGGTTTGACGTTGGTTAGTCGTCACTACATTATTATTTAATCTCGCTTGGGAAACCGAGCGAAAGAGTTCAAATCCGGAGTCTCGCACCTCTGATACTTTCATGGGCAAATCATTCCAACAATTACAATTCCAACATGTTTACCACTTTTCTTACGGTGAAGCGAAACTTCATACGGAAACCTGCATGTCTGAGACCATATGTTAAATACATATTATTAACTAACAACTTATCCTCGCTTTAGTGCTTGCTTAGCTGTAACAGTAACTTAAGTATTACTAAATGTCATGGTCCAACTACGTACCTGCTATGCATTAAAATCCAAAGGAGTAACAAACAAACAAATAAACATACAAACACGCACACACTAATAATAACGCAGTCATTTAAAAAAAAAACAAATAAATAAAATGTATACAGTATATCATACAATGACAATGAAATACGTACTGTTATCATCGGTCTCGTCAGTCGTCTTAAAGGGTGCGATGAGTTCGTCGAAATAGGCGAGGGTGGAGTCTTTCGGTTTCTTCGTCACGTCGGAGATCATTTTCAATGCCGAGTAGTCTATGCGGAATTTGGACAAAAGGGACGCCATACTGAAAGATATTTAAAAATTACTAATATTTCCCTGAACTACTTTAAGTTATTGCTAGAAAACCGAAGCCACTCGGTTTAATAGTATAATGAACGTTAGTAGATACAAGGACAGCTAATAACAAAGTGGGATCTAAATCTCGATTAATGAATAAAACATTTTTTACATGATTACATTTTTCACATCCTTATATAGTGAAGACACTTCTTTAGACTCCGCAATTAGCCATCTAGCTACTATATGGCTATAAAGCTATCTTTTCAATTTTTATCGCGGGCTTGTTTTGTTTTTTTTTCGGTATTCTGAATGCTTGACAGTCACGGATCCGTCTCTCCCGTGACCATGAATGAAAAATGTCAAATATTTCCATAAATCTATCTAAGCCCAGGACTGAGCAGTGGGGTGTTAACATTATATTTATTACACATATTTGGACACTGTGCACTAACTTGCGCTCCTCGATCTCCATCTCGGTGTGCTTGTTGGCGAGCGTGAACACGCGCAGCGGGCACGCCGCCCACGCGCGCCGCGTCGACAGGATGTACGGCAGCAGCAGCGTCAGCCCTGCCACAGAAATAAATATCAAACTTAATAGATGTTACTTAAACTTCTAAAAGCAATCAACATGGCGACACAATAAAAGTGTAATATTTCTGCCGTCACGGCACTTTTTACTATTTACTAAGAGCATCGAATGTAAAGTCATCATAAGTACCAGGAGGCACTTTTATCATGGGACCCTACATTTTAATGATATAATGAGCTAAGGGCTTAAGGAATGTATGTCTGTGCAGGCTTTTCTTCAGTGAGCTTTAACATGTACAATGTAACGTACATTAGTTGATGTTTATATGACAATTTTTAGAACCTAATATATGAGCCAATGGCAAAAAACGAAAATAAATTTTTTCTAACCGGACGTCCCACGACATTGACCGACGTTTTTTATGATTTTTGATTCCTTTTTCTATTTCCATTTACTCGTTTCAATCAAAAAGCAATCATCACAATTAAAATTACATCCACGCTTTACAAACTCTTCACAAATCCTTTAAAGAAACCGAAACCATTCAACAATACTACAATATAACATCAATAAACAAATAACCTACCGCCATCATCGTACAGCCACCACACATCAACAGTGCCGGGCTGTTTCTTGGTGAACTGCTCTACTGAGGTGAAGGACGACGCGCGCCGAGCCCTCGCGATGCCGATACGACGCACCACATCGCTTAGCGTTTTACTAAACAAAGTAAAAATAACCTTAAAATCTAACGATGCCATTTTTTAACAAAATCAAATTAAAACAAAATACTTGATAATTTTTCACAATATTACGATAGTTTAGCTATCGATTAAACAAAACTAATTTATGTCTATTCAACTGGTTAAATCGTAACCGTGAAAAGGACCCCACATAGTCAATAGAAGCAAAAAAAACTGTGCTAAATTTTATCCAATGAGGAAGCAACAAATATACACACAAACTTACGCATATATGTATAATACTAATAAATATATATTACTAGCGACTTACTCTCGCTTCGCTCGGGTTCGTCCCTAGGTACGTTGTAATTTTTTTGAGCGGAACCCGAATTCTTTTTCTAAAATAAAAGTAGCCTATGTTACTCCCTATAACATCAGCTATCTTAAAGTCAAAGTCCCGACAAAATCAAAATCAGTCCAGCCGTTTCAGATATTATTAAAATTATTAACAAATAGACGAACAACTAGATAAGTATCGTATATCAGTTTATATTCATTTAGTAAAACGCTGTTATTTTGACATTACAAATAGTTCAATTTTATTTATTTGTATATGTATATAAATACAATATGACCAACTCACGTGTCCTTCGGCTTGCGGTGCTTGGCGGCGGGGTGCGGCGACACGCGGCGCTCGCCCGACACCGACACGTCCGACAGGCTGCTGTCGTCTGCAACGGCCCTTAGGTTAGTAAACCTATACATAATGTCACTTAATCTATCTATATTAGGGTGATACGAAAAAAAAATTGTTTTCTTCTATCTTGGGGATAGAATTTGTAGCTTATAAAAAAAAACAAAATTATCAAAATAAAAAAAAATACTGAACATTTTGAGGTGGCTCACTCATTTTTAAAATAAAAATTTAATTTAAATTTTTGTTTTGTACGAAAATTTTATTCTTCGGGGGAGCATCTTTGAAAACATTCAAGAATTGACGAATATAGTCATTTTCTACTCCCTTTCACCGTAATACAAAAAAGTAACATGTCATTTTTTCAATTTTTTGCAATATACATAGATAGACTATATATTCTATGTATTCCATACTAACCGTCATGCGTACCTAGGGACGAACCCGAGCGAAGCGAGAGTGAGTCGCTAGTAAGTTTATAATTGCAAAAAATATATTTTATATTAGATTTGAGTATTTGATATTATTTTCAACTTGATACCGCAACGCAATCTTGACAGACAGACAGACAACGAAGTAATCCTATCATTATTCCTTTTTCCCTTTTGACGTACGGAACCCTTAAAACTAGGATAAAAGATAATTTATATCTATGTAATTTTCTTTATTATTTAGGTATAAATTAATATTTTATAAACATAATGAACATTTAAATTGAAATAATACAATTTACAAACCTCTTGACTGAGAATTCAAGCTTTCAGTGGATTTTGATTCTTTAAGACTGTTGTCGCCCATTGAACCTGTAATCGGAAAACTTTCATGTATACAAAAATAAATGAGGATGTACTATCATAATATAATTCAAACACATCGTGCGATCTTTTTAATATAAAAGTCAATTGGATTTAACATTTGACTCTCAGAATTGTTTTGAATCAAAACAGAAAGATTACAACAAGTGAGTCACTATAACAATGATCAATATGTTCTTATTTAAAACAAAACTGAAAATAGTCATGTTTAACATCTGTATAATATACTTAATGCATAATACTGATTGATATGCTCATTTATGGCAGACTTTTTTTATAGTAAACAATAATACCAATAAAACGAATAGGTTTTCATATTTTAGAAAATCCATTCAAAGGAGATCATACTTAAACACAACACACATAAGTAAAAAAGTTAACGTCCATACTAAAGAATCAAGTAAGAAGTGGGTAAATATCCCGGGTCGGAATATTTTAATGTTCGAATCAGTTTGAACGTAATAATCACTTATTCTACGGTGAAGAAAAACATTATAAAGATACACTGCATGGTTGGATCTACCTAGCAGGTCAGCAAGTTTTCGAATGACATGTGGATCCACCTACCTACAATTGACCAGTGTGATATATTATAGTTTGATCCCTCACGCATCGAATAAAAATCTGTGTCCAGCAGTGGGACATACAAAAGTGCTGAATACAATATTTTTATAAATTATAGCCGTGGCATCCAAATTCGTTCGGTATATTTACGTGAAAAACTACCAAACACACAAACATCCTCATCCTCACTAAAACAAACAAAAGTAGGGAGTGACTAACGGCAGAGGGCTGCGGGGTCGGCGGCGGCGGGGTCGGCGGGGCCGGCGGCGCGCAGGCAGGCGGCCACGTCGTCGTCCAGCGCGCCGCCGCACAGCCCGCCCGCCACGCGCAGCAGCGCCAGCGCCATGTGCACGTCCAGCGCCTTGCTGTGCGGACACACCGGACACACGACGTGTTAGTTATAATGGAGGAATTATTATTTACTAAAACAACCCCATGTGACGTCATCACAAGCACCAGACGAGCATAAATATTAAGTAGTGTATGTTATAAGAAATTCATGTGCAGGCTTTTCTTCGACGAGTTGCTTATCCTGGTACTCGTCACAATTTTTTTTTGAGCTAATGTATGAGTCAAGGGCAGACAACAAAAGATAAAGGGTAAAAAGGTGGTCTTTTTAACTGACTTCAAAAAATGAGGAGTTTTTATTTACTGGTGCTGTTAGTTGTAATGTAGTACTTAGTATGTGACGTTATCACAAGTACCAGGCGAGCATAAGTGCTGAGGAGTGTATGTTTTAAGAAATTCGCGTGACCTCTGTTACAGGCTTTTCTTCGATATGCTTCAACAAGTACAATGTACGTTGATTCATGTTTACGATACCCTGGTACTATTGACAACTTTTTTGAGTTATTTTGAAAAGTCAAGGGCAGACAACGAAAGGAACTCGGTTTCTATCAAATAAACGTACCAAAATAAAAGTACTTTTAAAATTTATTTTAGTAAAAGTTTATAAAATTAAATAAATAGGCAACTCAACCCACATATTAAGTCCTTGGGCATATCCACGATTTTATTTTTTATCCTAAATATAATTTAAAAATTACTACAAAAATCTACTTAATAATATATATACATTTATCAATTTTACAGCTAACGACTATAAGGAATTATTATATATTGCAGAAGAGTTAATGAGCTAAGAATTTTTGAAAATTACTGCTCTTAAAAAGGGGAAGTTAATGAAACTTTACATGAAAATTAATATTATCAATTTATGATAATAATCATTTGTAAATATTTAAGTCATATTTTACACATAATAACTGCTCAAACTTAAAAAAAATATTCGGAAACTTTTAGGTACGCGCCATCTATCGTCTCATCATACAAAACAAAGTAACCTTCATTATGATCAATCTAATTCTTTGTCCGTACTAATAAATAGCATATTATAAGGTCATCTTATGGCAATACTAACTGCATGACATCGACATATTCGGCCAGCTCGCTCCTGCTGCAAGTCTGCCAGTCCTCCTTGAAACCCATCATGAGTATGTTAGGTTTCAACTTGCCCACACCGCTAGCCTGGAAAGTATAATTAAATGAAATAGTTCTATCTAGTGATATACTTAAAAAAATAATTAAATATATAAATATAAAATTGTTTTTTTTTATATATATATTTATATATATTATTTAACAGTCTGATGTATGATATAATAAGAGTCTAAACAATGCTTCGTACACAGCTTAAATGTTTCAAATTCAAGTCTATAAATGAATGCCTGTATTACTTCTTTTTGCAGCAACTCAACGATACTTAATATACTGATTAATAACATCGGCTACTTCTTAAAGAAAACTATCTTTTCAAAAAAATCGCGGATTTATTTTCATTTTTGGTTCATGACGTTACAAATACTTTACAGCAATCATGGTCACGGGAGAGACTAAGGTTTTAAGTCATTTTGTAATTTTGGGTATGGTATTTTGTAATTATGGGTAGGCACTGTCTATAACAAGTAACAACTATATAATGACCTTAGAGACGTCTAAATAATTTTATTTATATATTGGCTTAAACCTAAGAAAGTATTAAAAAACTATTTTTCGTATAAATAAATCCTGTAATATATTCTCTATCTACAGCACAATTTATTACCTGTATTAGAGCACTGGCGCCATCTTTGAAGGTGACGTCATCGATCAGCGTGTAGAAAGCCTTTATCTTGCGCTTCATGAACCAGTGGTTGGCGCGATTCGTCAGCGCCTCTCGAGTGCGATGGTTCACTTGCGACTGTAATAATTATAATTGCTTATTAAAATATATCAAATATTATCATTATTAGAAATACTTTTCAATTCGATGTCGTTGTAATTTTTTTTTAATTGTCAAATTAATCAAATTTGACTTTAACGTTGCTGATAATACACCATTTTAAAACTTGTTTGTTTTAAAAAAAGAAGCGTGTGTGAACGAGCTTTATTCGATCAATCTTCTTTTATTAAAATCCAGCTCTGTGATTTGAGCAACTTTTGCCTTTGCAATATAAGATTAAAAAAAAACAAATGTTCCAGTCCGGAATAGTCCCGATGACAGAGAGAAAATCTGTTTTTTTTTTACTAAATAAATTAAAAAAAAAACATATTTATATATAAAATATTTGTATAACATACCGTCATAATATGTCCACAGAGCATCAACGACAGTCCTTTAGTGAGGAGATAAGTAAAGTCAGTTAGTAGCTGCCTCTCGGCGGGGAAGCCCGTTAACACTAAAATTTGTGGCCTGTAAATAAATTAAATTAAATAATTTTTACTATAAATATAAATATCCTCTATACTGAATTTCAGTCATGACGGTCAGAATCACAGACTTTAACAAACAGAAGATATTATAGTACAGGAACATAAGCACTGTCTCTATTTCAGTTGTGTAATAAAATAATTTTATTCTGGTAAACAAATGACTGAAGGAAGACCTAAATTTGGATCTTAGACTATATAGGTTTATAGTATATTTTGATTACCTATAATTTTTAACATGCTCAGTGACCCTGTTCAGTTGGTGCACGCCGGACAGCGCCGCTTTGTAAGTCTGCGCTTGTGTCGTTGATCCCCAGTTCACATCTGCAAATAAAATACAATTACTTAAGAATTAAGTTACAACTAATTAAATAAAGTAACACAATTCATACAAAAACATAAATTACCTAATTTCTTTACAACTTTAAAATCACATTTTTCACATTTGGTGACGATTTTTTTTAAATGAATACAGGACTATTGTTAAATTATATAATAACCGATTCATTAAAAATCACGAAACTTTATATTTTTTTATTTACGCAAATACATGTCATTTAAACGGAAACTATGTTTTCGATTACTTTTTTTTAATAAAACTGTATCAATTAAAAAAAACGCAAAATCAATTTACAAATGGCGAAAACATCACACAATAGACAACATCCAAAAAAAACCAGACTGACGAGAGGAACAACTCACCAGGTTTCCTATAAGACACGAGCAGGTACAGCGCCAGCAGACAGGCGAAGGTGAGCAGCGCCGTGCCCCACGAGATCACGAACATGATGGCCACGCACACCACCGCGCCGCCCAGCGACAGCCACATGTTGTACAGCTGCCGGCCACCAATGTATTATTTATTAGTTGTAAGTCTAATAATACTTTCTTAGATATACGCGAATATTTGACATTTTCGAGAGAGAGTTTCTCCCGTAACCATGATTGCTGTAAAGCATTCGAAACGAAGAGGAACCAAAAATCAAAATAAAACCACGAAAAAATCCGAAAAGATAGTTGTAAGTCTTTTAAACTTATATGGTCACTGACAATATTATTGTGATGTAAAACGAGATATTTCCAATGTTTATCACTTACTTTTGAGAGTAATCCGTGATCATGCTACTTGTACTAGTGCCGAAATATCGGGAAGATGCCGTAAATGCATTGCATTGCATTGCATGCATTAAAAATATATTGGAAAGGCAAATTATGATTCTTTAATATAAACCCTTATAGACCAATCGGAATCCGTTTTTAAGAGAAAAAAATATATTGAAAACCTGTAGTTTTATGATTTTAAAATGTTAGCAGGTATATAAGGAATAGAAATTCGTAAAATTCCCCCTATGCCCAGCTACCCCCGAAAAATGGGGGGACGCAAAGCGTTGAAAATTTTTTTTTTCAATTTCCGACTCACTGTGATGTTCTATTGAAAAATGTTTTCTACAAAAGTCAGTTCAGTTCAATATTTTGTTCCCAAACCGTATTAGATTCCGATTGGACTATTACATTTATCATTTTGATGCAATTTTTATAATTTCTACTCATAAGCGATTGTAAAATTTCAAATTGAAAATTCAAACTCACCCTGAAAGTGGGTCTCCAGCCGACGGGTTTAGCGAGGCTCGCGTGGAAGGTGGCAAAGTTGATGAGCGCGTACGCGGCCAGGAAGAAGTTTGATATTAAAGGTGCTATTTGATTTAAACCACCTAGAAAAGTTATGTTTTATTAATAATAGGTAAGTTTATTAAAATACTAGTTTATTCCCGTGTCTCTGCTCGTGTCTACAAAAATAGTCTATGTTAATGCACGAGAATTTATGTGAACTTTACGATATGAATAAGTAACAAACACCTTCTGTTCTTAAGCCACTTGTTGATAAAATTGCACCCTTATAATAGTAGTGAGTAGTGACATTACAGTAAGTATAATAATATGTATGGTTTAAATTGAACATTTCCTACATAACTTTTTTATGTGTTATTCTCTTCTTGCTCAATGGAGCAATTTAAGTAATAACGTTATTGTTATCTATTAATTTATTGTGCCTTAAGTAAAACAAATTTTCAATGGAAGCCCAATTTCGAAAAAAATACCACAATAAAATTCCCACATCTATTAAAGCACAAAGAGTATATTACAGTGTATAAAAAGTATAGTATTATAAAAATTATTACAAGTGACGTTCAAACACTTACCCATAAGTATGAAGCTAACGGCAATAACAAAAGTGAGCGCGTATCCTCTCACCGGCTCGTTGTTGGGGCCGTAGCCTTTAGCGAAGAAATCCAAGTATGGATACAGTTTGTCCTGACATAGCGCCTGAAAATATACATAAACTATTATTAGTTTTAAAATTGTTTGCTGTTTCAGAGCTTGAAAGGTACGGTACAGCTTCGATTCCTATGAGTACTAAATAAATAAATTTTTTCCATACTTTTTTTCGCTGTTTTATTTATATAATAATATATTTATTCTACAAAGCCTATTAAACAGTTCATCGAACATATGTACTTACAAAGTGAAGGATTGTGTAAGTATAAAAACTGTAAGAGCCTTTATGTCAAATATTGTACCTCTATAGTCTATACTAATATTATAAAGAAGAAAGATTTTGTTGTTTGTTTGTACCGAATAGGCTCTGAAACTACTGAACCGTTTTAGATGAAATTTGGTAAGAAGATAGTTTATTAATAATAATATTAATAATCTTTATTGTCAAAAAAGTACAGCTTACAATACATTTTATATCTGAAGGTAACTCACACTAGGCAAAGCCTGTGTCGTGAGTACCACAATTTGATTTACGAATGAAATATTGTTGCTCGATTAACAATGCTAGCAAAAGTTATATTATTATGACAAAGAAATATGTAAAAACTAAAAAAATAATAGTATTGCTTGTTTAATTTTACATTTATAATAAGTGCATGAAAAAAAAGCTTAATTCATATCAACATAATATATATCTACACAGTTGCACAGTTTAGATAATTGAAGAAGCCCATTACGATATATCATAAATATTTTTTTCTGTAGCATCATACGTTAAAGTAGTGAGCCAAGATACCACCTTTGTCTTAGCTTTCTTAACTGAGCAATATTTAATATCACAAAGCCGACAACTCTGTTATATATTAATTTGTCAATGGACCAAAACTTTTAGCAAAAAGTTTGAGACCTTGGGAAGGATAGAACAGTTTCTATCCCGGAAATCATCCCTCAAGAGGGTGAAAATGGGGATGAAAGTTTGACTGGGGAAGGCAACCTACGGACGAACCCGAGCGAAGCGAGAGTGAGCCGCTAGCATTTTATAGTAGACTTTTTTAAGGCCTAAATTTTTCGAGTACATTTTTTTAAATGTATCTCATAAGATTTAGTCATGTAAATTTCTAAATACAAACAGAACCAGTCATTGAGTTTTTTCGCAGGAATGAAATATTTTCCGGTAGTTAAATGAATCCAAATAAAAATAAAATAAAGTTCACTCGAGTACTAAATTATTATCACACTACACAAAATTTAGTTAAAACCGGCTCAGTATATAATTCCGTGAAATGCACATCCGTCGAACAGAGAAAAATTTCGAAAGTTCTATACACTAAACGTTAGTAATTGATTTTAAATACTATAATGCTACATTATTTAAAATCAATGACTAATATGTACAGAATACAGATTTAGAATAAGTAATTAATTTATTGTATTTATTTTATAATACTTCGATGATCGATCAACATATACTTATTGATCGAAGAAGAATTTCTCAGTTATTATGTGGGCCGATCCCGGCGGCACTGCAATGCCGGGCCGACCCGTGACGGGAGTGGAGCGAGCCCCGAACATCCCGTCGGTTTACAAAAATCAGATTAATATACTGGTCCCGCAGTGCGGGAACTTTCAGATATTAAGCTGAAAAGAACAGATACTACACTTTGATCTTAGCCAAAAGGCCGAGAAGCGATAAATATATGAAGTAATACGAGAGAGGTCATTATTTGCCAGAGCATCTTGCCAGCGCGATGCAGGAATAGCGGAAATATGAACAGCGCCATCTACCGATCGGCCATGAAAGTTGCTTATGTATTGTCAGTTTACAAATATGATTGGAATATAAATTTTCTTATTTAAAATAATTTATATAGCTATTTAGAAACTGTGTTTTCTTGAGTGGTGCTTTATAATGTTTTAGATCACAGAAAAAAGTAAAGAAATCTAGAAGATGTTATAACGTTTGTGATACAATTATAATTTCTGTACCTATATTGTCAATAGTGGGTAACAAAAAAAGATATTAATAAATATATCTTTTACAATATAACGAAGAAAATACATTACACATTTTGTACAACATTTAACAAATAATATACATATATAATATAAAAAAAGTACATAAAAATCATGTTTTTACATATGAAAAATAGCAAAGTTATATAGATAAACATGACTATACAATTTTTGCGCTAGAATACATGACTTCTTAGTTATTGTATATATATATATTCATATTATTTAATAATATATTATTTCATACCTGAAACACTTTAGGCGCGGACACGAGCGAGGCCAGCGCGGAGGAGAGGGTGGCAGCGAAGCACCCGCCGTATATCAGCGGCCCAAACGCTGACACTAGACGAATTACCTGACGATTATATTATAATTTAACATAAATGAACAAATAATATTAATCTTCATTTTTTAACACTAAAATGTGCCCACCGTCTGAAGTCTGGTGGACGCTTTTTAAATTGAAGATTTAAAAATGCTTGTGACTAGTCTATATGAATAGTTTCATTTCACTGTTGGTTTCAATCTTTGTCTCAATGCGATGGAAACTACGCCGTATTCCACCACGCTTACCCAATGTGAGTGGCGAACTCAATATCCTTTAAAAATTAGTTAGATGCTCAAACACGTAGATTTCCACATCATGTTGCGCTTTATTAGTGGTAAATTATTTTTTAAATTAGGTTATATCGACGTGGTTACTTTGTGTTCTGTCTACAAATAGTAATTGGTCCATTCCTATAACACGGTCCATACTCATCAGGTCCACGCGATTACAATTATTCTCACAGAAATATATTTATCGACTATATTGCATAAATAATGAAAATCCGAAATTGACTTATATGAGGATTTTTTTATGTACTTTCTATTTCTGTATGTATCTGTAGATTTTAGTTTGAATAAATAAACTATAAACACAGTTATAAATCCTTTTAATCACAGTTCATAAATACAAACAATGATAATATAGTTTAAAAAATACTAAGACAGTCCACAGTCGTAGTCCATTAAATAAGCCCAACTTAATTTTTACAATTACATAGAACATTCAATGCTATCGATAACGTTACTCACATCATTACCATATGCGCCATATGCAGTCCATACAAGTACCATAATTATCACTGCAGCGGTCCATGGCCCACAAGTTATCGATAAGGTTACTCACATCATTACTATGGTGCAATCCATAGCCGCAAGTGCCATTGTCCCTGCAGCGGTCCATGGTCCAGGCGGCCACGTGGGCCACGTCGCCCGACGCGTCGCGCAGCACAGTCCAGCCCGCGATCACCGCGATCAGCACGTACGAGATCGTCGTCAGCAAGATAGCCAGCAGTGTGCCTTTTGGTATTGACTTTTGAGGATCCTGTGTAATGTGTTCAAAATAAAACATTTAGTAAAAAAATCTCCTTTAACCATTTGTAATGAATGGAAATTAAAAACTCAACAAGTTATATAAATACTAACGACTTGCCCTCGCTTCGCTAGGATGCGCCCAGAATTTTAATTCTTTTATTAAATATATTTATTTAAAAAAAATATTTAATAAAAAATTTTAATTTATAAATAGACAATAGACATAAACAACAAATTTAATAACTATTATTTTGGGGTCTATATTCTGTACACAATATGTTACAGTCACTATTATTAAAAAATATTCCATGTACAGATTTCGCTAAGTTGCTATTTTTATGTAGATGTACAGATAATAAATATAATATGCTCTAAGTAATAAATATCAATGAGTTTTACTATTCATCTCCTGGCTCCATCAGATAAGCTCAATGGTATAAAATGATTTTCATCCATAATGTGAAATTCAAATTTAGTCGATTCGAAACGTGCTTACAAAAATCTATTTAAATAAACTAAATATATGTTGATAGATATCAAGTTATTCAAAACGTAAGATTGAAATTCAAAATTATATGTAAATGTTTTAAAATTTTCTTCTTTTGTTTGATATCAAAATCATAACAAAATATTATCATTCATTGAGAACCGATTTTCATAATTCTTTTATTAAAGAACAATATGTTATACCGTAAAGGTATATCGCGTGGTATAATTCGAGAAAAGAAATACTTTTAACGTATTTTGATCATATTTTGAAGCGTTATAACTACAAAAGACAAAGAAAATACTATGGAGAAAATTTCACCTTTAAATCTCCGGATATGTTAGCACCAGCCAATATCCCGGTGGCAGCGGGGAAGAATATTGAGAAAACTGAGAAAAAATTATGTTGGACGCCTTCAAACTCCCTGTAGTCCGGCCCTAAGTTACTATGAAGAACAGACACTGAAATGAAATAATTTTAATCATTAAATAAAATAATTATTTATAAATCAATCCTCAAATATGGCGTCGTCACGATTAAGTAAGGAGAATAAGAAAAAATGTGATCCCCTTATAATTTTTTTAACAGAAATACTTAATAACTATATTTAGCATAACTCGGGACTAGAACCCAGGATCTGCAGTTAAAATTTACAGTTTTAAAATTTACAGTTTTTTTAAAACTACTTACTGTTAAATCCTACAAATCCTTGAGCAATTTCAGTATCATCTTGTGGTCCCATTATGGCTCCGATGCAAAAATCCAAAATGGCCGCCAATAGAATAACTAGAAGCACTATCTGAGCTTTGGCCTCCCATTCCAACCCCACTATCACGATACCCGTCAGCAACACTATGGTTATGCATCCATAAATTGCTTGGTCCTGAAAATTTTGTAATATAAAAATAGATTTTTACTTCATACTAGCGGACACAGCAGACATTGATTGTCCTGCCCAAATATAGTCTTTAGAAAAATCCTAGAACCCGACTGCAGCGCCACCTACGGGGTTCAGTTGTGAATCTAAACCATTCAGGAACTCTTTCAAACACACAATTTTTTATCAAAATCGGTCTAGCTATTTAGACTTTCACTGACAAAGACGCAATAAGAATTATTATATATATATATATATATATATATATATATATATATATATATATATATATATATATAAAGATAAATATTTAATAAGTTATGATGAAAATGTTTTAAAAATCTCTTGCCTGATTCTAAGGAACATAGCGGATTCCATACAATAACTTTGTAACAGTTTTTTTTTATAAATAACAGTAAAAATGCTGATATATAGTTCGTAATAAATAATAACATTATAAATGTAAAGGTTAGTGAGTGTGCCTATCAAAAAGACTACTCTTTATCAATGTGCAAACCACTTGACCACATAAAATAACATAAAAATACCACTAGCATTATAACCACTTACCCAACTTTTGCTGACCATGTACGCGTGTTCAGGTATCAGTGTTATGAGAGACTCTCCAAAACCCACCACGTACATTGCGCACGCGACTGCGTTCGCCATGGAAAATATGAGCCCTATCGAACCCCCGAATTCGGGTCCAAGAGACCGAGATATCATGTAATATGTACCACCTAAAATAATAAAAACAATCTTTTAAGAATCTGCTATTTGTGATTTAAACTTGTAGCGATTTAAACTTGTAGGAGAGTATGTCTCTCATCGTTTTATTTACAGCTGGCGACTTAACCACGCTTCGTTTGGGCGCGTCACTAAGCTTAAATGGTTTTGGAACGCATAAAAAACAAACGTCCAAAGAAAAAATCATTTTTTTACACAAGGAACCTTTATATAGAATAATCCACTCGAGTTTTAACACAATCGAAATTTTAGTTTAGGAACGCATTGAGAAAAAACATACGAACATTCATTTTTATTTATATAGAAGAAAAAAATATAATATCATATAAAAATATTAAACATGGTAAAATAACAAATAAATAATTATGTAACAATAAACAAAACATATATAATATATGTAAATAAATGTAAGTATATAAACACCAGCCATTTGTCACAAATATCACTATGATTAGTTCAATATGGCTTCATAATATTATGATATATTTATAGATAGATAGATATATATTTAATATACAGATTTAGAATACCTATAATATATAACAAGTATTACCTCCTTTTATAACTCCATTCGTACTTATAGCGGACATAGAGAGCGCAGTGATAGTTGTCACTACGGACGTCGTCAAGATTAGAAGCGATGCCTGCGCTGCCGACAAAGGAAATCACTTTACCACATACCTACTACTTATTCAATTACTAGCCGATTTTTCAAACGATACTTAAAGTTATTAAGAAGATAACAAATAACATTGCAACTAAGCAAATTGAAAATAATTGCTATACAATAAATGATTAAACTACTCAACATTGTTTCAATACCCAAACTTATTTATTTGTTGGATTAGTATGATTGATCTAAAAATCAACAAAAGCCAAAACTTTAAAAGAAATTTAATACTGAACATTAAAAAATTGTAATAAAATACTCAATGAAAAAATAAAAATATACCTGAGAGTGGTAAGAACATTACTTACCTATTCCAGCTTGTCCAACGACCCAAGATAGTCTCAAAAATAGCATAACACCCCATATATTGAGTAGACATCTCATGAGCACTCCTTTGATCCAGCCAAACTTCACGTTTGGAGACGGCATGGGGGGTACACCATGTTCTTTCTCTAGAGTTTGACCTGGCTGAAAGGGAAACAGAAATAAGAAGAAAATTTGTACACAATAAGTTTCCCCAAAATAATTTCATAATGAAAAAAAAACATGCATCTAAGACAACATAAGTTAACTTCAAGCTGACAAAATCAAAGGGAATGTGGGCAGGGAATTATTTCTATTTTTAGAATAATGAAGAAGAATGGTAGACTCATAGTGTTTATTATCATATTGTTCCGTCAACCAAATACGTTTCCACATACTTATTCGACATAATGTGCATGAAACAATGCAGGTACTAATGTATGATTCATTGTTAGAACTATGCAATTATCTGTCATAGCTAACGCCTACGATGCAGGGCCCACCTATGACCTGTCCAATGAGGTCCCATTAAAAATGCTCTTATGGCGTTTAAATGCACTCACTTATCCAATTAAAAGAAAAAAACTTAATTTTTTTTTGTATCAATATTTTAAAAATTATTTATGATCATCAAATCTTAAAATGAATAGGCTAATCTAGATCGTTAATATTAGTATTCATTTTTATAGTTCAAGTTAGTTAGGTACCCACCTAGTTTAGGTTCATAATACTATACTAGTACAGATGCCTCATCTCATACAAAGAAATTGGACAGCGCTAATTCGAGCTATTTTTGTTTGCTTGAATAGATAATAGATATCGTTGATTCGCAAATAGTTGAACTGTTTTATTTTATAAATATGTGCAAAGTCACGTGTGATAAATATTGTATAATTCATTCTGAATTCGAATAAAAAAAGTCAGTAATTTTAACAACTTTTAACCATGATAAATAACTCATAAAAAGTAAAATCGTCATCTGTGAATATACACTACAAACTCATCATCTCATTGCTAATATTTCAATAATCAGTAAAATTACGCAAATTTAATTTAAGAGCATGTTATTTCGTTTCCATTCACTTAGAATATTTTTAAAAACAATAATAATCCTGTTTGGGATTTATTTTGTTATCTTTTGTTAATTTAACACAACTTTGATAACAGAATCGATACATCTCTATCATCTATTGACATTTATTTGAACTATTTTTTCTTAAATCGTGATGAGACCCTAAGATAATAGTTAATTTATTAATTATCATACATCATTCAATATGAATGATTCCTACATAATCAATATTTTTTCTAAGCAATGTTTAATAATAACAACAATATATACAATAATAAAATAAATCAGAAAATTAATTATACTTTCAATAAACGCTTCACGTGTAAGTATTTCTAAACACGTGACGTAGTGTAATATCGCATTAAGCTACTACGTGGTTGGTAATTATTATTGTGTAATATATACCCTTAATATGGATAGCATTTGTATTTATATACTTAATCATATAATGTTGTCGCACATTATAGATTAATATACATAATTTATTTATTTACAGCAAATTTTGTTACTTAGTGTTTCTATATCTATGAAAAATGTATGGAGATCAAATATGTTTATTTATGCAATTATCATAATCAATATCATAAATTCGAAAGTAAATCAACTTGTCTATTTACTTATTCGTGCTCAAAACGCTGAACAGATTTCAATGAAATTTGGCAAGTATATAGATTGTGTCATGGGGACGGACTTATAGGTAGCTTCTACAAACATATTTAGCTTACTTTAAAAACTATCCACTAGCATAAATAGTTTTGTTATAAAACTAGAAATTCAAATTGGAGGCTTAACTTTTAGACTATACTCTAATGAAATATACTTAATAATAAATTTGAGTTAAAATTGATCATGCCGTACAAGAATTTCATGCCGATTGATGACGATCAAGTTTTTGTTAGAACGACATTGTTGTTTGTATAGTGCGGTAGCCATAAGGTCCACACATATAGTTTAAATTATTACTTATAATATAAAATAAGTACACGAAGAATAGTTATTATAATTACTCAGTTATGTCATACATTTATTTTTGTCTATTACCCGCAACACCTGTAAAGCATATTTTTCTACCAGCCCGGAGGTCATCAGTTCAGTTCCTAGTTGAAGAAAGAGTAATAACTTACTTCTTACGTGGAGTATATTATTTTGTACTTCAAGCCTAAAATATGTGGGAAATGGAAACTTTAAGTTTAGTTGGTGTAAAATGGAAACATAAAAAAATTCAAGGGGTATCCCCTTGAATTTTTTTATGTTTCCATTTTACACCAACTTCCTATATGTATAACACTGCATTTATAATCTAGTAAGTAAATTAGACCAATAAATCGTAACTCATGATTGACCCCACAGGTACCAGTGATGCCCCAAGACCGGCTAATTGAAGACGTAATTACGAACATTGTACCTGCCTTCCCAATTAGTAAACAAGCGTAGCGTAAACAGTTCATTCAACAGGCCGTCATGATCTAAATATTACGTAGCGGATGTTTCTCGTCTACACACCTTTATATTGTATACTTGTTAAAGACATCACCTAAAATTTTATATGAAATGAAATAAAAATCATCAAAAAAATATTTTCAAGTAAATGTACTTGGAAATAGACAAAAATATCGCACAATATAACCGGAACCGGAAACACAACCAACCGGATTAGGATCCTCCTGCATTGTAGAAACCTTTTGTTTAAAAAAGTTTTTTTTTAAAAACAGACTGTTACATACAAACATACACACACACATTCTTCAAATAAAATATTATTATAAATAGAATAGTGCAACAATCGACATAAATAGCTAAAAAATCATTAAGTGAAGTGCAATAATCACTTCCTCTTCGTTATCCTCTGGTTATGACAATAAGCTGTTGAGGTTTTAGTACAATTTTACGACTAAGTACACTATGAACAATGGAATATCCTCCATAACTTAAGAAGGTACATACGTGTTGTCGACACATTGCACGCAGTACCACGAGTAAATAGACCAAGCTTTTAGACCGACTTCGAAAAAAAGGTTCTCAGTTCGGGTGACGGATTTTAAATACGCTTTTAATATATTTTTCTCGAAATAGTAGATAAAAAGGAAGTCGCTTTAAATTGTGTTTCTAAAAGATTAATGTTTGGAGCTCTATTACATATTTATTATTAAAAGCTACAAAATAAAGCTCTACATTTTAAAGTCACTAAGTGACACGCGGGATACAGTCAGCATTTGAGCTACGGTAGAAAGGGTGAGTTATCTTGTATTATAATAGAATAATAATATCTTCACAATAATCCCTTAGAAACGTATTTGTAAAGTATAGTGTCGTTTATTGCAACATCACAATTGGTTGATCATCTCTATTATATCTATCCGATCTTTGTAACTCTTAATAAAAACGAAACATCTGCGTAGCAGGACAATACGTTCTCATTACATGCACATGGCATTCCAAGTTTCCTTTTTATTAGGTAACTAGCGACTCACCCTTGCTTCGTTCGGGTTCGTCCCTAGCTTGCTTCCCCATACATACTTTCGTACCCATTTTCACCTCCTTAAAGGATAATTTCCGGGATAAAAGTATCTTATGTCCTTCCCAGGGTCTCAAACTCAAATTTGGCATGATGATAGCTGGTTATCCGGGTCAACATATAGGATAAATTTTACTTCGGTAAAATATGTCATCTCTAAAAAATCTATACTAAACGTCAAAAGATAAGTAGGAACGAACCCGGGCGAAGCAAGTCGCTGTACATAATATAATAAATTAACTTTTTTATGAGTTACTAATGGTCATAATCTATTTGTGTACAAACTTCATCCAAATCCCTCCAGCCTTTTATAATAGTAGTGTTTTTTTTCTAAACTTTAAAAAATAGTATTTAATAATAATGATATTTGTTACATATAAACAATATATTAATGTCTATATAAATAAACCACGTGGCCAATGGCACATGTATGGCTTGTTTTTAACCTTGACTTCGCTGTGATAACCTATTGAATTATAATTATTCCAATTAGCGTATCTGTCGCTATAATATTAGTTAATTATCTGTAATATGAAAAAGAACAAACAGGAACCTATAATAGGTTCGATTTTTGTTCTCAATATCGCGCTTATTGTAATACTCGTATCTGTATATACATATATACATATATATATATATATATATATATATATATATATATATATATATATATATATATATATATATATATATATACTCTAACAATGAAGCAAAATTTTGACAGTACCTAATTAAGGGAATCTTAGCCAAATTAGGCTATCGTAAGTTTACGGAAGACGAGCAGAGCAGCGGGCAACGCTTCTGAATTAAGAAACTAAATACACGCACAAGACTTTCATTTTAGTGAAAAGATATTATAATCAACATTTGTTAAAAAATGTCAATCCCATACTCTATTTAATTCAAACTATATCATTTTTCCCGCACTGCAAAAACCATATACATAAAACAGCACATGGATGAATTGTAGGGCGGTATTGACTCAGGTGTGCCTCCTGATAAATATTTGCTACACGGCATAACAACTTGGTGACAATACATTAAGTTTGACTGACACGACAATGAGTCAACAAAAGAGCGACATTCGTAAGTAATCGAAATTCTATATGTTTATAAATATCTATTGGTACCATACGTAGTATTTGTGGACAAATTTATTTCGGTAACTTATTTAGGTATATTTATATTTTTTACGTGAACTCTAAATAAAATTTAACTGGAAGATATGTATATAAACCCTTTAAGTATTACAAGATACATGTATGTATGTACATTGTACATTATTTTATACAATCATATCTGCAGCCTCGCTTCGCTCGGGTTCGCCTCTAGAAAAGTACGAACAGATCTATCCTGCGGGGACCGTTCATTTTTCCGGGATAAAAAACGGGTAACCTGTTATTTGACCGGCAATACCGGTATCAGCATGCCGAATTTCACTAAATCAGGTGCATAGGTTGTTGTGTACTAAGCTGTATAAGTTACTATAGGTTTTTAACTATCCCACGGGAACGCTTAAATTTTCCAATTCCAGAAACAAAAAAATTGAAATAAAATGCATTTGTTCTATTTCTCTTCTTACATTCTCCTGACTCGGTTTTTAGCATTTTTTTAATATGTATAGACAATTCGACCTCTTATTAATTAGTGATAACATGTAGGGATATTATACACATACAAAACATGATATATGAAACAAAATAACATACTATTTTATTATATGAACTTTATCCGACTACAATAGTACGTCATTCAGTTTTTATTTATTAACATAATCGATAATTGATTTCACGGAAATACACCTTCTACACGGATGTATGACGCGGCGCATGAATCCACTTACATATTTAAGAAAATTAAAGCGCTTCAGAAAATAAACATTATTCGTATTCATGTATTTAATTAAATGTCATGCATTTTATGTTAATTTAACTAAATAGTAAATATATATATATATATATATATATATATATATATATATATATATATATATATATATAATTTGAATGCTATGTGCACTTGTAGTAGATTATTTTTATTACAGTTTTGTATAAAAGGACTCAAATTTTTGTAATAAAACATTCTACTTATTACAAGTGTTTTACTATAAAACCCCATCTTGTAAATGCGCATATTAAATATAAGGATAGTGTCTTTTAAGTCTACTTTTATAAAAAATACTAAAATACCAATAAAACTATTCTAAGACTTCAACTATCATTTCTGCATTCTAAATTAATATTATATACTATACAGTCCAAGGTCTGGCTGGCATATTGAATGTTAGATATTTATAGAAGAAAAATAAAATCATATGCGTAATACAGAAGCGCTTCATTCATACATTACTTCAAAGAAAAGTCCATTTTTAGTCTATTCAAACAACAAGTTCGTAAAATTAATCAATAAAACGTGTTAAAATTAACAACGGTTCTTTGACTTAAAGACAACATAAACAACAAACAAGTACAAGTTTGAGTCCCATGAATAATTAATATTAGCAATTTATTCCAGATCGTAAATTAAAATACTTATTACTTAGTAAAAGTTTATATCGAGTATGACCAATACTTGCGATTATATGTTTACACAAAGTTAATACATATAATATAGAAATAAATAAAATTGAAGTGTCTGTTTGTAATGTCAAAATGACAGTTTTTTAATAATTACATACTTAATAGGAAATTATATAAGGTACTCATAAGAAAAATACAACTTTAAATTTTTTTGTCTGTATGTCTGTCTGTCTGTCTGTCTGTTTGTTCCGGCTAATCTTCGAAACGGTTAGCCTGATTTTGACGAGACTTTCACTGGCGGTAACTTAGACTACTTTTATTTTAGAAAACGAATCAGTATTCCGTGCAAAAAAAAAAACATAAAATTATGAGCAAAATTCACGTACCTAAGGACTCACCTCAGCGAAGCGAGAAGGCGCTAAGTAGTCTATAAATATTATACTAATCTGTTATTTATAAATGTGAAATTTATGATATGAATGTTTAAAAAACACACTCGTTTTGCTTTAGTTTGTTGTTCTATGTATTTAACCGAATTCAAAGAGGTAGATCATGAGACAATGTTTTTTGGATGTATGTTACCTACGCAATAATAGGAAATCGGTTGGATTTTAAAAATAATTTACTAAACACATAATACCTCAAGGGTGGTCTCTTAAAGAATTTCAAGAAAACACCCCTATGGGTAAAATAATAAGAAGTGATTTTGAAGTCATGAAATGTAAATGTAATTGTTGTTGTTGGTTTCCAGTTTCCAATACATTAGAGCAGACTGACACATTACACGACGACAACAGTGCCTTTAAGCATAGCAGCTTCATTTAAATATGAAGCAATCATTCATGCAAATAAGTTCATTGGCATCAATACTCGTACTACGATCTGCCTACGAGTACATTGCACTTGTAACTGGTCTACAGATATTTTTGAACATATTTCTTTTAAAATATTTTGACAACACGTTTAGCTCCCCTGTGACCCTACTTGCTGCGCCAGCGGTCGCGGGTTCGAGTCCCGCTGGGGGCATTCATTTCTGTGGTGAGTATGAATGTTTGTACTCCTGCCATGGGTATTTATATTTATAATAAGTATGTATTTAAATCTGGTTGTATAGTTTGTCAGCTATCTGGTATCCATAATACAAGCCTCGTAGCTTACCATGGAACTAGACGGCTTCTGTGTTAATGTCCCATCATATTTATATTTATTCCTATGGGTTTCCATGCTTATTACTTCATTAACTTACTTAATAGTAACAATATTTTTAAATAATACATTATTGGAGTTTACTCTTTGAGAATTGATTTTCATATAAGGCCCCCGTATGGGAATTTTATGTGCGTTAAATCAAAAGTGCGTTAAATTTCTCTTTGTAATGTCAGTGATTAATAATGACTCGAGTATTGATGTAATTAATATTCAAAGTAATATTAATAGTAAAGTAAATCAACCTTCCTAACAATGTATTCATGTATTATAAGTAACGTATATTTATGTAGCACGATTGGTATTATTAATATTATAATAGGAAAGTTTAGATGTTTGGATGAATGTTTGTTACTCAATAACGCCAGAACGACTAAACGAATCTAGATCAAATTTGGTACAGAGATAGATTATAGTCTGGAATAGCACATCCCGGAAAAATGTACGGTTCCCATGGGATAGATGTTTTTGTTTTTCTAGAGGCGAACCCGAGCGAAGCGAGGGTGAGTCGCTGTTATATAATATTTTATCAAATCAATATGAAAAATGTGAATAGAATAAAAATATATACATGCTTTCAGTATTATAAGAGATGTGTTTATTTTCCCTCTTTACGTAATGCATAATCAAAGACAATCGTACTGAAGGAATAAACCTCTTACTCCAGTCGTGCATCGGAGCTGACACACGAACACTATTTTATTCAATAAAAATGTACGTGAACATGAGGTCAAAATATATCTTTACAAAAAATATAAAATAAACTTCTTACCTTCCTTGATAGAGAAGCGTTGTGTAATTCGTCTAAAGTCGGTCGCGGTGCAGCGTGAAGCGATAATACATTCCTGTAATTATCCAGCCGCGGCAACGCCTCACGTGTGAAATGTCTAAAAGTATTTCAAATCTGTAGGGTTATTCTGTAACAACTATTATGTAACTCGACAGCTGAATCCGCAAACATACACCACAAGTATAAATTAAAAATTAAAAAACCCCCGACCCCCTTAGATCGATTGTCATCTCAAACACAGCTAAGAACACTCCCGACAATTCACTTTTCAAACAAAACAAAAACAAAATCAAAATCACTTATAACACCCCGTCGTTTTTCGTCGTGGGTCAAAAATATTTATACGAAGTATGATCGCGAATGCAACTGTAGAGTAACATAAAAGTTCTTAGCATTTTGAGGTGGCCCACTGATTTTTAAAATAAATAATTAATATTTTTTTCGAGTGATCATCTTTGAAAACATTCAACTTTTTTTTTAAATTGCAATAATGAAATATTACATTGAAAGTTGGGTAGAAAATGACTATATTCTTTAATTCTTGAATGTTTCCAAAAATTATCAGTCGAAAAAAAAGCCGTTCAAACCAAAAATTTAAATTAATTATTTATTTTAAAAATGGTGGGCCACATCAAAATGTAGAAAATTTGTTTTGTTTTCTAACATTTTGTTTTTTTATCAAATTCTACCCCCAAACTAAGAAAAAATATTTTTGAAGCTAACGCAGCCATTTCAAATCCTCATACCATTTTTCACGGAATAAAACCAAATGCGAAGTAGGCTGTGACTTTCTCTGCCTTGAAATAGAGAAATTGCTCTATTGGTCATGACATATTACTGCAGTTGACCACATGTCATTAAAGAATGTTCCTACTTCCTACAAAGTTACATGACTAGTTTCTCAGGAGGTTATTTTCTCAGGGCATAAAATGTTTATATAACCCAAGCATTTCAAAATAAAATTACACTAAAGGAATCAATAATCGTGTTCTGTAAGGATTTTTATCTTCTCCTTCTCTATGCGAACTTTATATTTTTCCCAATACATTAGGTATAAAAAAGTAAAACATACATATTTTAGAAAAAATAAAAATTATTAATATTTTTTTATATATTAATATTAGACCCAGATATAGTAGATAACGTAGTGCATTCTTTCACTTAATGGTATGTAAAGTTAATAGTTTTTATCAGTTTGTAGGTAGTAAATGCAAATTTTGTTTCGTGTAATGCTGCATTGATGTACGGTTGAGGGCTGTTTCATAACCACAAATTTTCTAATGTTGAAAGTACACTGTCCTAACCGGATCGTGACTTGACTTAATCTAATTTTGACTTTTAAACTAAATCGTTACAACTTATGTATTACATAATATACATATTTAAAAGAATATTTTATTATACTTTAAAATGTATTCGGTAAAAATACTTTGTGTAGCCATATTAATTTTTAAAAATACTTTGTAACTTTAATCTCGCTACATGCCCACAAAAAACATGGTTAATGCATCAAGACGCAAACCTTCAACGATAAGCAACACCTATTGTGCCACAGTGGTTATTATTTTATGATAAAAGCATGCTTTAAATCTTAACAGAACTTACCTAAAGCTTTTACCATATTTAGTATCGGTAGCGGTTAAAGGGTCGTCACTCTCCATGCCTGATCCGTCAGACTCTGTTGCTTCGTCTTGTTTATCTTCCATCTGAAACAAAAGTATTACTATAGTTATATTTAACACTTAGAATCTTTATTTCCTACTGTCAATACTAGAAAATTACTAACATTTGTCCCTAGTGAAAATTTAGGTTTGTACGCATTTTTAATGCCAAATCGTAAAAAAAAAATGTTGTCAACAAAATTAAAATAATTTTTTGGGGTGGACGACCCTTATCACTTAAGAGGTATGAAAAATAGTTTACGTCCTATCCTCTGACTTACTGAATATACACACAAAGTTTCATAAGAATCGATCAAGCCATTTCGGAGGAGTTTTTTTACAAACACTGTGACACGAGAATTTTATATATTTTAAGATATATAGAAGAAATCCAGTAATAATAACTGAGTATATTTATTCAATATTTTATATATTTATTTATATTTATAAAGCATAAGGAAAACTTTTACGGAAATATTTGTAATGGAAAAGTTTATAAAATTAATTATAGATGCATTTAGTTTAGTTAAGTCGAGTCTTTGTGAGGAAAACAAATGACAACACGCGTACACAATACACATGGTTCCTATGCCTTAAGGAAAGTAAAAACAAACATGAAACAAAAACAAATCTATAAAAACTCTATATTATGTCGGGCTGCGATCAGGCCCTTCAGATAAAAAAAAATCTATCCCACGGGAACTATAACACCGGACACGGGAATAAACATCTAAGCTTTCACATTAACATATAATATTAGTGGATACTTATAGTTGCCAATTTGATGTAACACTTACAATTTTGATATATTCGAATTACTATCATCAAATTAAAGGGCTAGTACGTAGACTTTAGTGTTGAGCAATAACAACAAAGCCGACATCAACAGTATAGGCATGAATTACCAAACATGCCTAAATCTTTGTAGTAAAATTTGTATGACCGTTTTGTAAATTCTTAAGTTAACAGTTATTCTTCGTAGGCCGTTTTAATACAAGTCACGCCTTATAGAAATCCATCTGTTATTGACAATACGTATAATATACCATCAATACGTCATTACACGTATTCTAATTCTATGTTCCGCCCACTCTTCATAACGGATTTATTTTAGAAATTACCTACATTTGCTTAATGGTTGTGACCACCATTTAAATACATTCATTTTATTATCTGATTAAGTTAAGTAAGTATATATGATAGCTTTCACAATTTGTTATCATTTTAATTCATAATTTATTTAAAAAAAAACCGCTTGACCGATTTCGATAAAATTTCGAAAAAATCCAAATCGGTTCAGGCGTCTTCGAGTAATCGGTGAACATACATAAAAAAAGATTCCGACGAATTGAGAACCTCCTCCTTTTTGGAAGTCGATTAAAAATGGTGCCTTTTATCATATATAATTATATGAAATCAAAAGCTGAGTTAAAGTAATTCTAGATATAATAATCTAATCTCAACTCAATGGATGTGCTTCAACGTTTGCGAACTTCCACGACGGTTCAATACATTACGAGTATTTATGATTTTTTTAAAGTATAACACCTTTAAGCTTCTAAATTTTTACATAACTTTCGAAATAAACAAAATATTTATACGAACAAAGTGATCTTAATCTGTTCTGGTGAGTTCTTCACTTTTACTTGATTGCAAATTATTTCACACACATTGTATTATGACGCCTTCAGCATAATAATAATATGAAAAAAAAATCTTCTAACTTAAGTTAAGTAAGTATATAATGCTAGTAAAATACATTTAACTCTACACGAGCCTACCAAAATAGCCAACTTTATCACGAGTTGGGCGACCAGAATAATATGTCGATCTTATTATTTTCCCCAAGATGTAGAAATAAAAAATGTTAAGTATCTGGTCAGGAAACACTAATTTCTTACAACTATAAAGTCTTAATTGGTCCCTTCCCCTGTCTCCGTTATTTCCTGAAGTAATCCGAGGGTTCAGGCCAAGTCGAATTCAATCATTTGTCCCAAGAGAGCAAGGATGGGATTGCCTCAACGGGTATTTTTAGATATGCTATATTTAGACACACCCACTTATTCTGACCAACGGGTCCTGGACTCGCTATTTTCATATTGCTTTAAGTGGTTCAAATTTGAACAGCACATATAACTGCATTGATATGGTTTATTTTATTTAAACGACTCCTAATGTTATCAGAAATCAAACTTTTTGAAGTTATACTTCTTTTGACACGTTTGGAAAAAATTATGAGAGGAAAATTTTTACGATGCGCGCGCACAGCGACAGCCAAAAAGCGACATGAAGTTAGATGTATTCCTTTTACAAACAGAGTTGTAACATACAGGATGAAATCTTTAGCTATTTTTATTCTGTACGCCAATCAAGTATAACTTCTTACGTACATAAGTACACACAAGGTTTTTTTTATAAGAAACATCATTCATAAAAGTTACCATCTAATAGATATCAATAATCAGTTTCTGTAATAATCATAAGTGTATTAGCAAAATCAATTCAATGATAATGAGATGATGTAAGTAAGTGCATAACTCTATTTGTGATTGCCTACATATTATTTATATTAAAACTAAATTACAATAAACATAACTTGCCTTTGATACGCTATAATGACATTTATTTTTGTGCAATTTTATCATATACGAATATCTTACGTATTTATATGAGCTATACGTATTTATACATGTTTTAAATAGAGCTAAGCTCTTTCACTGATTTTCAAAGCAGCTACACACTGGTTTTGTTTTTTTATGGGACTAAGTGGAACGGGCAGGAGGCTCACCTGATGGAAAGTGATCACCGCCGCCCATGGACATCTGCAACACCGCAGGGCTTGCAGATGCTTTGCCGGCCTTTAAGAAAGGAATACGCTCTCTTCTTGAAGGTGGCCAGGTCGTAGCGGTTCGGAAAGACCGCCGGCGATAGCTGGTTCCACAGAGTGGTTGTGCGGGGCAGAAAATGCCTTAAAAATCGCACTGTTGTGGAACGCTGGACATCGAGGTGGTGTGGATGGAATTTACTATTTTGGCGCGATGTCCGATGGTGAAATTCAGCAGCCGGGATCAGTCCGAACAATTCCTCGGAACACTCCCCGTGATAGATGCGGTAGAAGATGCAGAGTGATCCAACATCTCTACGCAGAGCTAAAGGATCAAGCCGATCGGAGAGAGCTTGATCGTCGATAACTCGAATCGCCCTACGTTGAATGCGGTCAAATGGAAGTAGCTGGTACTGGGGAGCTCCCGCCCAAAGATGAGAACAGTACTCCATGTGGGGCCGATTTTGCGCCTTATAAAGAATAAGACGCTGACGCGATGTGAAGTACTGTCTCGCCTTGCTGAGCACACTAAGCTTCTTTGAGGCCAGTTTGGCCTTACCTTCCAATTGACCACGGAACTGGACGTTGCTCGAGATATCGACGCCAAGTATTCCGATACTGGCTGTGGGAGACAGAGGAGTGTCCTCAAATTGAGGAGCTACGATAAATGGCGACTTTTTAGCGGTTAACGCGCAAACTTGTGTCTTTTTGGGGTTGAATTGGACTAAGTTTAGTCGACCCCAATCCGAGACTTTGGTTAACAGAGATTCGACTTCAGACACAAGTTTGTTCCGGCTCTCGTCGTCTAGTAATTCAAATTAAAAGAGACATGAGTTATAGTTAAGCTCTTTTTTAATAATCTACTCAGCCAACAAGAACAATAACAATTCAACCGTTTTTAACGTCCTATTGCTGGGCACGGGTCTTCCTTCAATATTAGGGGATCAGGCCGTAGTTCACCACGCTGGCCAAGTGCTGGTTGGCGGACTTCACATGTCTTCCGAAAACTTATTAGGTTGTCTCAAACATGCAGGTTTCCTCACGATGTTTTCCTTCACCGTAAGACAAGTAGTAATCATGTTGGAAATGATTCGCACATGAAAATATCAGAGGTGAGAGTCCCTGGAATTGATGGATTTGAACCCTTCACTTGGTTTCCCAAGCAAGCGCATTACCACTGGGCTACCACTGCCTTATATCATATTATATGTATTATTTATATACTTTCAGGAACAGTGAAGGTCAAAGAAACAGGGAATTTGTCCTTCAAACTATATCTGATCCGTGAATGTTCTAGACTCAGTGATCAGTAACGACATTAGCAATTGCCGCTTTACTACTATAGTGCAAGCTAATCTAATACGAAAACTCATAAAGGGCTTCAGTCTCATGATTGACAATACTTTGATTAAACTTCGTCTTTTTCAAGACATTGCAAGTCTTAATTATTTAAAATACAAGAGAGCTAGATCGTTTTTCGAACAAACAATTTGCATTGCATGCAGATAGCGATCATCTTAACACAATTCCACGCGGACATGATTCGTATAGTACTTCATTATTATGTGTGCATTTATTTTGCATAATACATAATTAGTAGGTAGGTATACTTGTAATTTCACTATATATTGTTTTCTTATTCATTACTTTTTTCTAAATTAACATGAAAATGAATATTTAATATGCAATAACCTTTGTATGAAATATCTAATTTTAAATTTCACTAGCACTGCCCGCGGCTCCGCCCGCGTTCAGATGACCAAAAACCAAATTCTTAGGTTTTACATATTAGTATAGCCTTATATTGCAGTTTTTGATTTTTTCTCAGAAATGAGATATTTTCCCGCGGTAAAAAGTATCCTATATATTGACCCGGATAACCAGCTATCACCATACCAAATTTCATCAATATCCCTCAAGTGGTTTTTCCGTGATGCGGTAACAGACAGACAGACAAAAATTCTAAAAACTATAGATTCGACCTCTGTATCGATAATATTATCTATTTCAATAAGATTTTCCAAGAAATATTTAATGTACAGATTCGGCTTAGTTACAATTTTATTATATATGTATAGATTACTTCTTGGAATGTCAGCACATGTATAAAACCAGTCTAATCCGCTATTCATTGTCGATCTTCGCCCCCCTACACCTAACCTTAAGGTACGCCTCCACAAGTGTTACAGAATAATTCATTTTTCAAATAAAATGATTCATA